TATAATTTGAGTCTGTAACTATTTGGTGGGTGGTTAATACACACACAAGGTTATGAAATAGTTCCATCATTCACTTTACTTAAAAAAAACAGGTTTTCAGACTAATTTCCAAAGACAACCGTCCAAGCCCCATGTGTTATTAAAAGCTATTATCGAAGAGCTGAATGGTGCAAGCATGCATCCAGGAGGTATATTGATTCCCAACTGTGCGGACATGTTGGATTCTTCGGATGAGTATATATAAACCTTGAAAAAGGGCATCTCCCTATCCGAAGATGCTAAACGCGTTTTCGAACACATTAAATCAGCACTCGCCGAAGTGACCATACTGGCACATCCAGATTCAGATGAGGATATTCACCTCGTGACTGACACCTCCGACCGGCCTGTGGGTGATGCACTATATCATGTTGTTGATGAAGCTCCTTAGCATCTCGATTTCTACTCTCGAAAGCTCACTTCGCCCCATTAGCCGCCAACTCTTGGCGATTTATTTATCAGTGAAATACTTCAAATATATGCTACTTCAAAGAAAATTTCACGCTTTGACTGATCACAAACCCTTGTGCGGAGCCTTCAACTGCGCTTCGAACAGGTGTTTCCTGCTAAAATTCCACAAAATGGAGTACATTACACAATTCACTGGCAAGGTGCGCTATTTAAAACGAGCAGACAACATCGTCGCAGACACCCTCTCTCACATTGACATGGCTTCTGTTGTACCTGACACTAGAATTAATTATCCAGCCATGGCAGAAGAACAGAAACGGGAATACAGTCAAATCATCGCTTGCCAATGGCTAAAAAATGACGATGACGCAAGTAGAGATGCTTCAAGGTGCCAAGATCTGGTGTTATTTGTCAACGGGAAAACATCGTCTTTTCGTTTCTACCGCCATGCGGAAATTGGTAATCTTTGTGAATAAACTAAAAAGCCTATGGTGCACTTTGCCATATTATTTACGTTTTTTGAATAATGCCTTTCGGTAAGGGAAAAATGCAATATAACGTATCATTAGATCATTCT